GCTGCAGCTGGAGTACTGCGTCCAGTTCTGGGTGCTGCACTTCAGGAGGGATGTGGACAGCATGGAGAGGGTCCAGAGGAGGGCCACCCGCATGATCGGGGGCAGTAGGGCAGGCCCTACGAGGAGAGGCGACAGGACCTGAACCTGTTCATCCTCCACAAGAGAAGGCTATGGGGGGATCTAGTGGCCTGTTACAAACTAGTCAGGGGGGACCAGCAGGCATTGGGGACCCCCAAGCACTACTAGGAGTGACTAGAAATAACAGTCACAAGCTGGCAGAGGGTAGATTCAGACTAGATATCAGGAGGTGCTACTTCACGGTCAGGGTGGCTAGGATCTGGAACCAACTTCCAAGAGAAGTGCTGGCTCCTACCCTGGGGGTCTTTAAGAGGAGGCTAGATAGACACCTTGCTGGGGTCGTTTGACCCCAGTACTCTTTCCTGCCATGGCAGGGGTCAGACTCGATGATCTGCTTAGGTCCCTTCTGACCCTACAAACTATGAAACTATGAAAATGTATTTTAAAGTAATTCTAAAGGGCTTCTAAGCATTTTTCTTTCTTAACTTGTAGGAGATTCTCTGGTGAGTTGTTTAGACCCAAGTATGACAGAATGGGAGCAAGGAAGGGAGCAGGAGGAATTCTTTCGTGCAGCAATGTTCTACAAATCCTCCAGCTCAACCCTGTCATCTAGGTTTACCCGAGCCAAGTATGAAGATGACGCTGAAAAAGTAGAAGTTCCTCGAGACCAAGAGGTATGTGCTATTTATGACTTGCAATAATCCTGAGTCATTTAACACTGCCGAGAACATACTGTTTCTTTTAAAGCAACTTTTTTAGGTTAAACAATGTAAATACTCTTCTGTTGCCCTGCATTTCTTTTGGTATTTAGAAACAAAATATTGTATATAAAGTAATGTTCTGATAACAGTAGTTAAGCATTTGTTCTTTATCTTGCTAGTGTTACAGCATACCAATAGCAATAGCAAGCACTTCAAGAAGCTCATATTCCTCTAGAAAATAAAAATATCTAATTTTTACAGAATGATATTGATGACAAAGAATCTGCTGTGAAAATGAAGATGTTTGGCAAGCTCACAAGAGATAAGTTTGAGTGGCATCCTCAGAAGCTGCTGTGTAAAAGATTTAATGTTCCTGATCCCTATTCTGAGTAAGATGATAAATCAAAGACCTTAATGCTTTTAAAATACTATCTTTTAATTACTTCATAATTTTTGAGGGAAATGTTGGATTGACATTTCTGGAGACTATATTCCTTTCTTTTTTCTCAGATTAGGTGCTGCAAAGCATTCTTTTGAACCTAAACTAGGGGGACTCCTCTGGGGACAGGCCTATTAGGGAAAATTATTTTAAATTGTTTTAAATAATCCCAACAGACAGGGTAACATGTATGTACTCTATTTGTTCTGTGGATAATTGGACATTCCAGAGTTGTCCATTGATCCACTCATTAAAAAAATGACTGACAAACCATTTAATTTTCCTCCAGTTCATCTATTGTTGGGTTACCCAAAGTGAAGCGTGACAAGTATTCTATATTCAATTTCTTAACTCTACCAGAGACCACTACAACAACTCTAACTCAAACAACAAATGAAAATAAGCAACAGACTACCAATCCTAACAGTAAGTGAGATATTTTATTCCTATAACTCTAGTAGTTAATAATATAATAATAATATAAATACTGATATTTTCATTGTGGACTATCCATACCAAAATTAATTTCCAATAAACAAAAAAAAAAACTTTTCAAAAGCTTCCTAATTTAGATGTAACTATAGGGCCAGATCAACTCAAGTCACTGGGATTGTATTAATTTAAATCATCTGGATATAAAAGTTAATATAGATCTTTTTGTTTTTAATTTTTTAAAAAATATAAGTCGTAATGAGGGAGCAAGTACTATGCAATAATTAAACAGACCACAAAATGAAGCAGCATTTTTAATATGGAACTAACCTGGATGCTGGTAAACTTCTATTATATTTTAGAGCCAAAGAAACCATCAAGATGGGATGTATCTGACAAAGAGAAAAAGAAAAAAGATTCCATCAGTGAGTTTATTAGTCTTGCTAGATCAAAAGTTGATGTTCAGCAGCAACTACAAGAACCAGCAACAGAGAAAAACAAAAGCAGAACAAATGAAGCTCTTTCTAATAAGGTAGCAAATTTTCACAAAGTTTGACATTTTCAGTTATGTATATATTGTTGACACCTTTTCCTATAGCTATGCTTTATGCTCTGAAGTACCCTTCATTCTGAGAGCCAATGATATTAAAATAGTAGTGCCACACAAGCAACATAGAGAAAAAGAATGATAGGTCTGTATTTGGGTGCAACTGTATGGAAGTGCATATAGTACATTCCTTTATATTTTACCTACATAATACCTCCACTGGGACTCCACACGTTTCAGGCTCTACAAATACATAGATCTCATTTCATAACATCATTATATATACACAAATACACACCAGTTCCTGGGGCTGTCACAGACTTACTCAGGTTCATGTTTTGTGAGCTTAAGCGCTGATGGGCCAGAGATAGTGGCATGCAGAGTTCAGCTTAACATTTTTCATGTAGCATCATGTTATCGAGAAGGGAAAGTCAGAAAACAAAGTCAAGGAACCGAGCAATTCTGGATGACATCCTGTGTATCTTGGAATTCTAGGAATCAATTTTCTGGTCATGGATAAATAGAAGGTGAACTGCACTTTCTCCCTGACCAGCAGGAAATTGGGGAAAGTGTAGTTTCCTAGTTCCCCCTAGAACAATGAAAAAGAAACTCTAAGTTTCCATTCCCTTATGGGAGAAGCAAATTTGAGATTATTAGAGTTTCTGGGAAATTGACTTGAAAGTACAGCGTTGAAACTTTTTGCATTTTTTACTTTCTCTTTGCTCTAGATAACTGGTCATTTCAGTATCCATGATTCTCAGCTGTGGTCCGTGGACTGCCAGTTTGTAAAGATGAGGCTAATTTCTAGACGACTAAAAACATAACACACATTTCATGAAAGGTATATAGTTGCTTCCGTCCCATCCAGGAGAGCACATAACTGCAGATGCTTTCTCTGTCTAAAGAAGGGTGTTAGTACCCGAAAGCTTGCAAAGAAGAATTTTTCTGGCTATCCCAGTTGGTCTAATAAACGATATCAGATTTACCCAAAGAACTTTGTCTGCCTACTTGCCACAAAGACTCTTAATTGAATAATGAGTTGGAGGGTAGTCTTGATAACTGGAAATAAGAGTAGAAGTGGTACAAGTTGTGAGGTTTTGGTAATCTTGGTCCTATATGGGAAAAACTCAAACCTCAAGTTGAGGTAAATGTTGTTGAAGTAATTCATTTTGTTTTGAAAAAGCAAACAGAGTAATCTGACCAATGTGAAATTTTGCTTGAATGTGGTCTAAATATGAATTAGGAAATTAATTTGAACTCTGTAGCTATTGTTTGATAAATTGCTGCTATATTCAGTAACTATTTGTGGAGACTTTCTGTAGATAACCCCATGAGTTTCCCATGTTTGTATCAAACTACCCAATTTAAAGTGTGAGGCAAGAGATTATCCCTTTTATTTGAATGATGTAAAATCAGACATTCCAATGGAAGCTGTTTGAAAAGTTGACCCTGTTAGTGAAATATCTTCAGCAGTGAAAAGTTACTGTTTTTGGTTTAGTTATTTTGTTTTCTTTAGCTAAAATGGATTAACAAATATCAAATAAAATCTCAGTATATGCACTTATGTTACACTTTTAGACCTAGCCCAAATTTTTATGGGTGAGTACCACTTTCTTTGGGGAATCTATGCAAGTCCCTTTGGTCCATCCCAGCAATGAACTTGGAGTGAACTAGAAGAGAGGTGGAGAGGTCATATAGATTTTTCTATGTTGAATTGTTATGAAGACTTTGCATTGACTCAACACACTTTGGTCCAGGAGAAAGTGTAGAATCTGCACTTACCTGAATTGTGGTTTATGATTCGTATACAAGTGGTGTGTCTATGTGAGATGGTTACTGCGGAGTAGTCTAATTAGCTCTGCAGTAAACATCTTGGTGTCTACACGTGCAAGGCTATTAGGCTGGAGTAAACTAATAAACTCTGCAGCAGGGTAGTACCTGTAAATGCAAATACTACCCTGCTGCGTAGTTTTTCACTCTGCGCCACATGTAGACGCTCATGTGGCTGGCTGAGGGTGCTTCAGCGTAGAGGCTGCCTGCCGGCTAGCCCCACACTGGAGTACACATATGACCCATCCCTTCCATAGTATATTGAGCCAGGTCAGAGCAGCCCCAGGCTGGCAAGCTGACCCTTGGGCCATCTGCAAGCCTAGGCTGTGCCAACCCAGCTCAGCATATTGTGGTCCTAGGCGCACGTGTAAGCACAGCAATTGTGCCAGAGCTTATTGCATTGTATTAATATTCACATGCGGATGCACCCAAGGGCAGGAGGTATAGTGTAGGATAGTGGCTGTACAAGCTATGATGCCAGCAGGTGGGGCTGAATGAGTCCGGCAGGTGGGGTTGAATTCCATCTGGTATCCCTGCTGAGTTCCATGGATGGAATTTGCTTTTACTCTGCTTTGAGTGGGGAAAGAGGCACATTCTGAAGAGGGTTTTTTCTTTCACTTAAGTTCACTACAAGCAATTACATTTAGAGTCTGACTTGAAAATAAAATGCATTACTATTTCACATTACTTCAAGTGATCTGTTCAAACTATATAGAAAAGCATACATTGTGGTGTTTGTTTTTTTATTGGAAAGGAATTTAACTCTGGGTTTTAAAATGTTGGGTCAAGAATTTTTGAGTTTATGGACTTCAGTTTCATAGTGAAATTTGATAGTTCTAATATCCTAATAAAGCTTCTGTTAAAGATGTTGAAATAATTTCTTTAATTTAATAGAGAGCGCCTTTTTTTTTTTTTTCCCCTCCTGAGTGCTTAAATCCTTTCATTATGGTACTGTTATGCAGGTAGTTAATGAAAGTGTGGATCAGAAAGAAGAAGAAAGCAGACCATCCATGGATTTATTTAAAGCTGTCTTTGCCAGTTCCTCAGATGAAAAATCATCCTCTTCTGAGGAAGAAAGTGATGATGAAGAAGAGCATCAGGCAGCTGCTGCAGGGCCAGACTCAGAAAGTACTAAGTTTGCTGATCCACCAGATAACTCGTCTGCTGTACAAGGTGGTACTTAATAGTTTGCTTCAGAATTATGAAATTCATTAAGTAACATTCATGCATGAACCGCTAGTAAGTTTATTAGACATTAATAAAATTTGGTCTGGTTGAAATGTGATTTTCTTTCATTTTAAACTGACTGGCATAATCCCACCAATGTGCATGGAGTCAGTCCAAGATAAATCTGTCCTGAATCAGGCTTTATCTGTATAGACATTACCTACTTTACCATAGGCTCTGCATAGTTTTTAGAGGGACATTATCAAAGACCTCTGTTTCCTAAACAGAGTGATAGATGACTACATTTCCCTTATTTCTCTGTAAAGAATGTCAACATCAGTGACTGAAGTAAGGTGCAAAATAAATGGTAAAGTATAACTATTTTGTGATGAAACTTTGACAGGATTGAAAATAAGTAGAAGTTGAATTCATTTGAAAAATATATTCATTTAATATAATGGCAAAGTATATTTTGCCCTGTTGTTTAAAAATATACCTCTTGGTATTTTTTTATTACTGGTCCATACATGTAGCACCAAAAACAAATGGAGGTGAAGGAGAAAGTAGCGTTCTCCTTTGCTAATGAGTAAAAATGGATAGTGGAATATTGTAGAGAGTTTTTTCCTGTTTTTAAGGTTGACATTGACAGAATTTATTACAGTATATTGAGTAGCTTACCATGAAGTAGCCTGAAGTTTAGTATCGGCGTGTTTGTTTATCTGGACATGTTGGGATGTTGTATTTCAGCAATTTTAACTGACGTTTGTCTGTCTAATTGCTGATCTGAAAAATGTGTTAATATGCACTAGGTCTCAGCCATTACTGTCAACAATCTAATTAGTACAAATGAAATGACAAATTGCTAACTAAAAAGTTGTACCTCATAAACTTTTAATTAGTTTTAGTTCCATACAAAAAAGACTGATTCATTTATTTTTTTAAAGTGTAAATTTCCTGAACAGACAAGTACAAAGTTATCATTCAGGATCTCACCAGGCATAGATGGAATTTAGCACTGGAATTTTGGAATTAAGGTAGATTTGTTATTTTCTTAGACCATGCAGTGGTTACATCTGAGCCAGACCTTCCTATGCCATCTGCTTTAAAGAAGAAGCTAGATGAAAGGGAATTTGGCCCGAGATTGCCTCCGGTTTTCTCTTCTGGTGAGTACTGAAGACCTTGAACGTGTAAATTCTGTATGCTGAAAATATTTACAGGATATATTTTATTAAATTTTTTAAAGCTGTATTTCAAAGTACAGATTACGTCTTCATTTAGGTGTTGCACAGAGAGATACAAGTGAATGTTACAGGGTTGAAGCTTGTTCTTTTTAAGCCTTAGTCCACACTGGCAGAATGTTTTGTTTGGGGTTTCTTTTGGACATTCATAGTGTGGGCTTGTGTGTGCTGATATCTGTGAAAAGGCTTGAGTATGCATAGTTTTTGGTGTGAACTAGTGGAGAGTAAAGTAATGAAAAATAATGGTGGTAGTAAGATAATGGCTGTGACCTTTCATTCAGAATTCATATTTAACCCAACTATAATTTTACTTGTAAATTGCTATCAACATAGTGGCTGCTTACAGATATGAAAAAAACCAAACAAACCAAAAAAACAGCGCTTGGTTTACAGCTCAGTGCGCCCCAGAAGAGTCATTGTGATAGTTTGACTTGACTTGTCCAGAATCTGTATAGTTCATGCACTTCAGCAGGGCTTTTTGCTGCTTTTATGCCAGGGGTAGGCAATTATTTTGGGCGGAGGGCTGCTTACCCAGTTTTGGCAGGCTGTTGAGGGCTACATGTGTAGCCCCGCCCCTTGACAGGTGCCGCACCCCTGGTCACCATCTTGGGAGCAACGTCACAATGTCTTGGGACCAGTGTCCCAGGGCCAGCATTAGTGGGGCCCGGAGTGGGGCACAGGCTGGCAGGGGTCTGTGGAGCCGGGCTGGGCTGCACCAGCAGGGAGGGGGGTGCTGGCCCAGCTCCATAGAGCAGCTGGGACCCCGTGCTCCTGCCACCCTGCTCTGGGCCTCACTGGCACTGGCCTGGGGACACCGGTGCGGGCCCTGTGCTCCCACTGGCTCCCTGCCTGTTCATACCCAGTGCCCCCAAGTCCCGTGGTACAGGTGGGGGGCAGTGCACAGCCCTGACACCCTGCTTGCTAGCAGGGAAGGAGCTGGTGCTGTGTGTAGGGAAAAGTGGCCCCTCACCCGCCCCGTGGCCAGTCTCCCTGCTGCAGGCGCTTGCAGCCCACACAGGACAGTCTGGAGCAGGCACAGGCAGCCTCATGCAGGCTGCAGGTGGCTGCAGCACAGGGCGCTGGCCATGGGGAGAGTGAGGGGCCACTTTTCCCCAAGCTCAGCACCAGCTTGTAACCTGGGGGGAGGGGGGGAGTGGGAAGCAGCCCCTCGCCCGCCGCATGGCCAGCACCCTGCACTGCAGCTGTTCGCAGCCTGCCTGGGGCTGCCTGGGCCTGCTCTGGACAGCCCCACATGGGCTGCAAGTGCCTGCAGCATGGGGCGCCGGCCATGGGGTAGGCAAGGGGCCACTTTTCTCCACACAGGGAAGGAGCCCAGGGAAAAGCTGAGCGGGGGCGGGGGGTGGCGGTGGTGGCCCCTTCACTCCCCTCCCCTGCCCCACGCCCGGTGCCCCGCGCTGCAGCTGCTTGCAGCCCGCATGGGGCTGTCCGGAGCAGGCACAGGCAGCCCCATGCAGGCTGCAAGCAGCTGCAGCACGGGGCACCAGGTGTGGGTGGGGAGGGGCCAGTTCTTCTTCACCCCCCCTCACCCCCCCAACCACGCGCTCCTTCCTTGCCTGGGGTTGTGTTCCCACTTACCTGTGGTTCCAGCACGGGACAGCCATATGCTCTGAGCCCAGAAACCCTGGCTGGGGGTTCCGGCTGGGGGGCAGGGCCAGGTGGGCCCTGCTGTTGTTGGAGCTTGCCTGGCTTCCCTTGGTTCCTGTCATTTTAAATATTAATTTTCTACATTTTTTTGAGGGGCCCCGTGGGCCGGATAGAATGGCCTTGCGAGCAGTATTTTGCCCACCCCTGATTTATGCAATAGCTGATTCAATCAATTATTACATTTTAGCTGTATGATCAGCTATTAGATTTTAGCTATTATTTATCAATTGGCTATTAGATGAAAGTGCCAAAAAGCCCCACTGAAGCATGTGAGTTATACAGATGCCTGGTATCTGGATCAAACTGGTGTAATTCCTCTTCTGGTAAAATGCTGGGTGGGGGGGGGTTGTTGTTGGATTTTGTTTTTGTTTGTTTTTTCCCCATGTCTGTCAGTACCCAGTGTGTAGCTATTATTTTCGACTTGTCCAAATTGTACTTTTTATACCTTTTTAGATTTTTGTGATTATGGTGGTGTATGCCTCTGTTCTTACCTGTATAAATATGAAATAGATGAGAGACTGTTTAAATCTCCTTTACGAGTATGGTAGTTGATCTGTAAACTCTGCACACAAGTTTTAGGTATTCTTGTGGCACATGATTTTAGTTCACATCCAGGTTGTTCTTGTCTTTTACTGGGTAACGTACTTTGTTCTTCACATTTGATTTTTTGCTTTAGGTACAGTACAACAGCATGAACCAGTACAGCTAACAAGTTTTTCTGAAGTGAATCAAAAAGAAAAACATAAAAAGAACAAAGAAAAACACAAGACCAAGAGAGAGCACAAGCACAAAAAGGAGAAGGTGATCAATATTTTTAGTTCTTTGAACTGGTTTTCTCAGTTGAGCAAAAAAAATATTCTATAATTTATGCTGAGCTGGGATTTTGGAGCACTCTTAGATGCCTTTTTGAAATCTTTAGCTTCAAACAGAAAACATTTTGTAATCAGGGTGCTTCTTTCCCTTTAGAAGTGTAGGCATCATAGGCCTAAGTGTATTGTATTCTACAGAGATATATGCTAAAGACTTTGAGATACAATATAATAATTAAAATAATCCACGATTTGAAGATAGGCAAGAAATAATCAAGTTTCCCTTCTTATTGGCAGGGGGGAGAAGGGAGAGAAAGGTTCTGCTTTCAAAATAGCTGTTTGTTTTATGGAAACGGGGCATGACACCTCATTTAATAGTATCATGGTCAAAGCAGTGTGAAAATAAAAAATGGTTTGATTTTTTTTTTTTCCCCCCACATTTGCAGTATTTTACTCTGATTAATGCACATTAGAACTTTTTTCTTGCTTGCTGTTGTGTTGATTGTTATGTATTTGCTGTGAAGTACTGGTTGAGAGATGGAGTTTAAAAGTCAAAGCAAAAATGGCACTGGTATCCATCACTGGATTAACTTGCTACAAATAGTGGCCAAAGGGGAAAATGTACATCTATGAAAATTAGTCACCCCAAATTAGCATATGAGAGGTAACCAAGGGAATCACCTTGAAACTGGGGTAACAAAATAGCCAATGTGGTAGGATTTTAAATAGTGTTCTTGCTTTTTTTCCTAGTGCTTGTCTTTGTTCTTTTTCAGTATGTTGATGTTATTTAATTTGCTTTCAGATTTGTTTCTGTACTCGTATTTAGATTAATAAGAAATAAATTTTCACTTTGTGTGCAGTCTGCTGAATCTGCAGAATTATGCTACTAAATCTGTTTATTTTGTTGTATTTGATCTTTGCCTTCCAGAGAACTTGTGCTTGTATTTTTTAAAGTTTGCACAGCTGAAGATGTTACTGAAGTTCTTCTGAACTTCTTTCTGAAGTTACTGGAATAGCTTGATTGTAAATGTAATTGCTCTTTTTGCATTTCCATTTTAATTTGTCCCATTCTCTTAAGACATATATGACTAACAGGGTCTCAATTCTTTTTTTAACAGAAAAAAAAACATAAGAAGCACAGACACAAAGGAAAACACAAAAATAAAAAATCGGAGAAAAACAGTAGCTCTGACACTGCTGAAAGCAGTGACAGCCTTAGTGGTGCAGAAATGAACACGGATTTATCACCCCACGAACTTCTAAGGAGGTAATAGATAACTTACTGAAACTCTTGCAAATCCAGCAACAATACTAGGTGGAGTCCTTACCTGCTGTAAAAAGATGTGACTTCACTGAAGGCAGTAGAATTTACATCAGTTTGTACTACGTGTGGATCAGGCACTGTTTGTGTAGAATATGGCTCAAGTTTGGCTAATCAGGTCAATAAAGATAAACTATGTTTGGTTTCAGGATCTAGATGTGCCTGATGAAAACTAATTTTCAGGTTAAGTGCTCTAGGGAAAAGGGTTCTTGAAAAGATAACTAGTTTCTTCTGAGTTAAAGAAGGTCATTTTGGATAAGATGATTTTTATATCCTTGTACTATAAATGGAGTAGAAATTGAACAGCTGAGCCTATTGCTAGCATGTTTTTTCAGAGGATGTAATCAAGATTAACAACCTCAAAACCTCTCTCTCCCTGGTGCCCAATAGAATATGTTCTCAATATCTGAGTCTGCTGCTGCAATTTTGCTGAAATCCTTTCCACTCAGCTGAATAACTGCAATCCAGCGCATCCAGAGTTTGTCAGAGGTGGTCAGTGTTATACCCCTCTGCTTGCTAGTTCTGTTCTTGTGACCTGGCAAGTTACCAAAACTTCAGAGAAAATCATGCTTCAATACAAGATTTTTGTAAGTTGGTAGCTGCTGGTTCAAATGTGAAACAGAGCTTCACAGACAGTGAGAACTTCTCATATCATTTGCATGCCTGTTCAGCAAAACCAAAATTAAATTGGTTGGTCTAACTTTAGACATCTCTGCTCTCAAATATTTTTATACACTATAGGCTTTGAATACAATAGTACCAGTAGCATGGAAATTAAGCCATCAAATACAGTTCTAAAAAAACTCAAAATGGAAATTGGTCTTGAACAGAAGATACTGTACTCCAGAGATGTGCTGAGTGGAGGTGGAGGTAATCGCTCTGATCAAAGAACACGTTGTACAGAGTACCACCTTCACCCTCCCTTGGTATAAGGAGCTCATTGTGGTATAGGTCCTTATTTGGAACAACGGGATACAAATAGAAACTGGAATTCTTTTCTTATATTAGGAACATTTGAAAGCTTTATTAATTTGTTAGTATTTTAAATGAGAAAATGTATTTCTTTTTAAAAAGTATTTTTAAATGTTATTTTCTAAATAGGCAGCTAAAATTTGCTACTGTGTCTGATTTTTTGCGCTAGAACTTGGGCTTCCTTGGGCCAACTGACATTTTATAGGCCCTCAGATTTGCCTACAAATCTTGTATCTTTATTAAAAGATGCAAAAATTGTGTTTTAAATTTGATGTTTGAGAAACTCTGTAATACATTTTCTGATTTTTTGTTTATAACTAATCAAAATGGTCTTTCTTTCAGGCTGAAAGACCTGCCAATAATGAAGAGGTAGTTTGCTGAAGTTGCTGTATGACTTGATCTCCTCCGTGATGGTGGATCAAATATGTATATGTAGTGTATAGTTTGATGCACTGTAAATATTGTATTTATGTTAAATTGGTTTGAAAGCATAAATTTATACCTGTTTTTGTGATGCTTTACAGTTTTAATCCATATAAATTATGGAATGCTGGAAAGACCCTTAGATTTTTTTGTGACTGCATTATCAACAGGAATAATGAAGTGTCTACATTTTAATTAAATAGGACTTAAGATATTTTAATAAACTGTGCATTACAAGTGGTGTTTCTGGTACCTTAATCATTGTCTCAAAGCTCCAATTACCTACTGCAAACATAAACATAATTGACTTCTAAAGGAAGTGAAACTAGGAAGTGAGGTAGGAAAAATTTATAGAGACAAATATACTCCATTCTCTATCCATATTGCAGATACTCAGAATACAACATTTCCTATCACTTAGACATTGTATTCCTCAGCTTTTCAAAAATTGTCCATGTGTTTTAGAATTTTGTGTAGTACATATGATCATAATATGATTTTAAGTAAATAAATGACCTGTCATTCTGCATGATACACATTTTAAAATAGGATTATAGTACTGGATTGTCCGAAACAGGGGTGTCAGACATATGGCCTGCGGGCCAGATTTGGCCCACGGAGTCTCTCTAATCTGGACTGTTGGGCTATCAGAGGGCACTGAAAGTTGGGCCTTTGGCCCCATTGGGCATGGCCATCAGCAGACAGCTTGGCTTGCTGCCACCAGCTCCCACACTCCTGCTGCCCCTGCACCGCCTCTGCTCCCATTGGACTCTGCACTACCTCTGCTTGTGCTGCTGCTGGACCCTGCACATCTGCTGCAACTGTGAGAGTCCACTGCAGAAGCCCTCATGCCCTAGGTTAGATTCAGCCCACAAGGATCCCTGTGGCCCAGATCTGGCCTAGGGCCCCAGGGGTGTTTTGACACCAAGGGTGTAGAGTATTCAACCACAGTATCTCTACAATATTCTACATTTTTGTTTATTTAACAAGATGACAATGTTGAAAACCCCAAAATGTCTTGGGAAGCAATGATCTCTTTACAAGTTTATATCTTTCCTAGCTGCATACAGTAGCACTTTAAAGAAAGTTGAAATTATGTGTTAAAGTACAAAGAAGACTGAACTCATATTGTAGGGTTTTTTATGATACAAACTATGAAATAATGCTAAGATATGTGATTGAATTCCATGAAGAAAGCATTTTTTAAAGCAGATCATACAAAATGAACATTCTTGCATTATTTTACTCTATTAGGAGACTAAAATAATAGTCTCTATTTGCTATTGCAATTAAAAATACAAGGTAGTATATTTTGAGGCTAGTTAAAAGTAAAATAAATTTTCAGGATTCAGGCCACTTAAAGTGCTGTGGTCTGATGATATGTAGGCTGTCATTTAATTTTAGAAATCAAAAAGGCACTTTAAATCTTCAAAGTGAGATAAGGAGTACATGTGGATTGGAATTCTATCTACATTACAAGAATGAAGAAGATAGAATGAAGCAGCAGAATAAAACCCTTAATTTTAAAGCAACGTAAAACCCTACTTGTTAAGCACATTAAAATTAAACCGTTCTTGCTAGAATGCTAATACAGTGATTAAAAAGTGATTGCAGCCATAAATCTCATACAATTTCCTTTATATCCCACTGGTTATTAAAGGGTTGCCAGCAGTATAAAAATCACTGCTTCCGATTATTATTTTTTTAAATCTACGAGTGACACCAATATTTTTTCAGCGAGATACAAATTGGAAGGATTAGACTGAAAATATTTTCTGTATTACAGTACCTTAGACAGTATTTAGGAGCCATCTTCTCTGATTAGTCAGTTTTCCTGATTTTGTTTGTGTGGCTCTTCATACAACAGTAGAGAAGGATTTTAAAAGAGAAAAGTCTTAGAATACAAAAATTCATAGGAACATTCAAGTAGGGTGTAGGCAGACAAGGTTCTTTGGGTAAATCTGACATCCTTTATTAGACCAACTCAAATAGTTGGAAAAATTCTTTGCAAACTTTCGGGTACAATCAAGGTGAGCATAGCATTTGTAACTTTTTTTCTTTTTTTTTTTTTTGCTAGATATATAATTGATTATATCCATTTAAATTCTTACCAAACCAGCTGTTACATTTGTTAGCAGTCAGTTTGTAAATTAAGCAGGTCATTTTCAGCACTCCAAGAACAGACCAAGGAGTCTCAAACCTTTCTTCTCCCTTGATCTGCTGATCAGCTACAGTTCCCTGCCCCGAGTCCAGTTCTACACCTTTGTTTATATTGTATTAGGTATAAGAAATACTCCAGGGCAAGGAGAGAGGATGCTGAAAAGTGATAGGAGCTAATAAAATGCTCCTCTTCCCTCATGTCTGGAGAAGCACCACTTAAGGATGTTAGGCAGCAGGCAGTCTAGGTCAGGGGTGGACAATTATTTGGACTGGAGGGCCACTTTATGTTCAGTGAGCTATTGCAAGTGGGGGGGGGTGCCAGCCTTTGGGGAGATGCAAGTAGTCTTATCTGGCCCCAGGCCGTCCACCCTATACCCACTGCAAGGGGCACTGGACAGAGTGACTGGGCGGGCAGGTTGTCCATGGACCAGCTGGGACCCCTGTAGGCAGGGCATGCTCAGATGGGTTGTGGGTGGGCAGGGAGCAGCAGCTGGGAGCAGGGATGGGGCTGGGTCCAGGATCACGGGGCCGTACCAGCTTATGGCTAGGGCAGAGCTGTGATCTACTGCTCCCCACCTACCCGCAGCCCCATCCCATCCCCCCAGCTGAGCATGCCCTGCCTGCTGGGGTTGGCCCAGGCTGGACTCCATAGAGACCCCACCTGCCCACCCTTTCCATCAGGCACCCCCAGTGGATGGGGTGGACTGGCAGCGGCAGCTGGGCAGAAAGTCCGGTTGCTGCACTGACCCTGCCTTGCCATGCGCTGGGGGGTGGCAGGACTGGCCCCTGTGCCTGGGCTGGGTGGGGCTGAGGCACCCACCAGGGGCCAGATAAAATGCTTTTGCCCACCCATGCTGTAGGCAGTGGGTTGAGCTTCACCAAAACAGCACCGGAGAAGCCCTGACAGAGATGAGGAAGGATGGAAAAAGCTTCCTTTTCCTTGAGTTTTCACTCTGCTGAGGATTTAGAAGCCAGGAGGAGGACTACGTTTTGGAGTCCAGGGAGGAGGGATTTTGAGTACGATTCCCTTGCCTTGGGTTGGGGACTACGAGACTGAGAAATCCCAACAGAAAAGGAGGAGGATGCCTTGGATTTAGGGGCCCGGAGAAATGGGGCTGGATGGGACCTCCAGAACTCATCTAGTCCTGCCCCTGCCTGGGGCGGGATTGGGATCCTCCTGTCCACACCACCCTACACAGATCCGTTGTGCGACCTCTCAGCAAAACGCCAGCGCCCCTGCCCTGCCCCACGGTGAGCAGCGGGGCCAAGGGTAAATCCCCTGCCAGACCTGCGGGAGGGGCGAGGCCCTCGAACTGGGAGCCTGCAGTTTTGGGCTTCGCCTCCCTGACTCCACGGCCTGGTTGCAGGCTCCAGGCCTCGCCTGCCCTGACCCCTCAGTCCTTTGGGCTTGGAGCCCTGGGGCTGCAATCAGGGTGGGGGCGGAGCGAGGAGGCCAATGGCTGCAGCAACAGGCCAGGGCGACCCACTGGCCTTGGGCGAGCTGCTGCCGCCCCCACTGCTGCCCGCTGCCTCCTCGCGAGGGAGCCGCTGGGGCGACCATGAGGAGATTGCACAGGTGGGGCAGGCCGGGAGGGCCCCTCAGCCTGTCCTGTGTGGCCTGTGGACTGGGGCAGGCTTCCCTCAGGCAGGGCACAAAGCACAGCGAGGGCAGGGGGTGTCGGGCCCAAAACCCCTCGGGCTCTGTGGGAGCGAGTGCCAGCAGGGGGGAGCAGCCAGGGGCCTTGCTGGAGAAGGACTTGCACAAGCCTGCATAAAAAGCTGCAGAGTAAACCCAGGCAGGGGAGGGTTTCACCACCTCCTTGAAGGTATCAAGATAGACTGTTTGAAATGCCAGGGTACGAAGTTGCTTTGGAGAAAGAGCCGTGCCCTTGGAGAAAGCCCCCGGGTGTTGTCCCACATCCATTGCAGTCTAGTGAAAGAGGCAGGTGGGTTTGAAGTTGAACTCCTCCCAGAAGCAAATAGAAACTCCGTTTCTGCTCAGGTTTTTATTTCCAGGCTCCCCCTTGTGGATTTACAAGCTATGCAATGATATGTATCCCATAAGGGGAAAAATATGTTTAAACTGTTCTTTTACAGATTCCCTTTAAAATCCTTCAAGGACACAAGGATGCTGTGAGCTCCTGCCATTTCTGCTGTGAAGACACAAAAATTCTTTCCTCTTCTTTTGACAGATCAGTGAAACTCTGGGTAGGTTATGAATATATTATGGTGCCACTGAAAGCCTAATTCAAGCTTGCGTTGTCATGTATAAACATAGATGAGGAATCACCAGTAGACTATCTAAACAGTTATTATTGACTTTTAAAGTAACAAAACTGTTTCACTGGCTCAATTAAATGATAAGACTCCTCTTTCATACTTTGAATATAGGCTTTGCCTTTCCAAGGGCACTCTTTATAAGCAGATAGAGGAGAAGGTTCTTCCACGCCAGTGAGAGAGTAAGTTCCTAAAATATCCCAAATGCTAACTAATTTTCTGGAAAAAAAACCTGACATCAGTGTTAAGATACAACTCTTTTCAATGTGGGCATCATTGAGCAGCTTCTATACTGTTAATGAGGAGGTTGAGAGCGTTCCTGGATAGCTATGGCCCTAAGCACTTACTTAAGTGTTTTGTTAGCTTAGTGCCTTAGTGCTCATAATGAAATAATTTCCATCACGTTCTTTGAGTGGTGGAGGTTAGTGATTGTATGCTGGAACAGGCAATAAATGTAACTAGCAGCAAGGCCATGATGCAGCATATTTTTCATATGCTGATTTTTGTTGTCCTTAAAGTCTAAAGTTGTCTGTTCTTTTTCTTTCTTTTGCCTGATTCCCTTGGTCAGTTTTGTGAAGCTACCTAAGGTTTCCTTAAAATTCCAACCATGTAGGGCACAGCAACCAGGGTTCCCTGGCTGAGATGCACAAGAATCCTGTTTTACAAGATGGCCCAGAGATTTAAGCTTACATAAGTATTTGACTTTTTATGAACAGTGCACCATTTAGCTGTGCTGAATACTTTGCATGTACTGATGTCTATTGTATATGAGCTGGTTTGTAATTCAGTTCAAATACTGATACCAAAGCAGAGCAGTGCCTTAACAGCTACAGCAGATATGGCTTCTTACTAGCGTAGTGTACTTGATGTCTATCATAGGATTTTATCTTAAGACAGAACATTTGGAAGCAGACAAAAAAAAAAAGCTTTACTGAAATTTATGGTAGCCCCTATTGTTGTCCTGGATATCCAAAAGTTAGGCTGTGTGACACCTTTTCATCCATCTTGTAAAACAAGTGAGAAGGCCCTAAAGTAGGCAATCATGGAGACTTTCAAAATAATACTTGTCATAGAAAATAAGTAAATACAGTGGGCTATGATATTCATAGTTAAATTTTAATAACACTCTCAAATTGTCAGAACCTGCCTCATCCCATCATGCAATAGGAATTTATTAAAGTGGAATCTTTTTCCTATTTTTAATGAAAACCTATGCAACCCAGTTTGCATGTAAAATATTTCAATCAAAGCAAGAAAATGCTAAGATCACCCAGGAATCTTTCTCAAATAAAATGGATAGAGGGGACTTATAAGTATTCCCCTAAAAGGGAATAAACCATACCCATTTTTTTCTGAGGTGTGCAAGATTAGTGTGTCTGATAATACTTGCTTATTTGGAGCATATGTATGTAAAAGAATTTTAATTCAACACATCCTGCATGATGCAGATTTGTCAGGATCCATCCAAGAGCACCTCCCTTAACATTGAGAGCTTCCTAATAAGCATCATAGAAGAGAGATCAAGATTGATTACAAAGACCTAGGAAAACTCTTAATTACACTGTAGAGTTTCTCTGTTTCTTTTGAAAGAGTAGGTATCAAATGATTGATTGCCTCTTAGAGAGTGTTTGTAGTTTCTCTTGTGAATAGAAAGTACTTCACTGGCAGTGCACACATCTTTTAGAAAACTAAGATTAATAAGGTACACAGTATACACATACCAGATAAAACTAGAAGGACAAATTTAATTGCAAGACTTTCCTTCACTAAGAGAAAAACAGAACAAGATTTTAGGTTTGATCATGGTTTTTTTTTGTTCAGCCTTAGAGAAAATGTCGGTTATATCTGATGCCTCTAATGTCAGTTATTGCAGCATTTGGACCACTAACCCATTCAGAAAATAAACAACAGAGCAAAATGAATTTACTTTAGTTCCAATTATGTGTATAATAGTTGTTATTTTAACCCGATAGCTCTTTCAGATGAGGGGCTCTGACAGGGGTAGCTGCTTTATAATCTAGACTCCAGTCCATAGTGCAAAGTACAAATGGGACAGGGTTAAAAAAATTAAAACAATTAAACTGCACAGCTGCTATTGGAGAGAGCTAAAAAGTTCATGTGCAATAAAGGCAATATGCAGTGGGTCAAGTAGGGCCTGACCCTGAAAACTTGATTCAGATTTTAAAAATCTCATTAAAATAAGCAGGAATAATCAGACAAATAAAGGATTGCTCATGTGTGAATTTCCCTTGGTATTTTAACCTGAAATTATTGCTATGTGTCAGAGTATAATTTCTGTATTTAGAATGTGTTCAAGTAGCCATTTCCGTTAGGTATACTATCACAGGCAAGTTTTTAGACAGGTTTTGAAGGAGAATAATGAGCTGGTTTTGTAGATGTTTATGGCAGGTTCTCCCAAGCATGAGGAATGAGTGAAAGGACAAAGGTGTCTGAAAAGTTTTAAGAGAGGCTGGCATTAGAGCTCATCAGGGGATTTTATACTAAATGAGAGAAGATAGTGGAGTGGGGGTTATGTAATCAGTGTCCTGAATCAACCTGATCTCAGAATTTATACCAGAGAAGCTCTGCAGCATGATAACAGGAGCAGAGAAAGTTGACCTCAGGAGTGAGTTAATACTCACCATTGCCTTTGTTATTTTGCTTATTATTTGTGTTGCAGTAGCACCTAGGAATCCTAGTCATAAGAGCTACCATTGTGCTAGCTGTTGTACTAACAGAACAAAAAGATAGTTCCTATTTCAAAGACTAGAAAGCTAGCTACAGACAGACACAGGGAGTGCATAAAGAAACAATCACAATGATGGGCAGTATGACCAGCGGTGACCTTTATTGATGGCTGATGCATGGGAGAAATGAAAGACTATTTCCTTACAGGGATGGATGTAGCAATCATTCTAATTCTTAGATCAGATCCTATAGCTGGGACCAACTTTACTGATTTCACATGCTTTCCCTCTCATTGTTTATATGTTGCAATTTAACCTTTCAGGATCTTAACAAACCACTTATTAATTAAACTCTTCTGGATTTATTCAAGGATGTTGCCAAAGGTGTTCATATTCAGGTGTTTGAAGAAGAACACACAGCTCCTATTTCTGAGTGCAGTTTGACTCCTGATAACAAAAGGTGATGTTTCAGTTGTATTAAAGAACAAAAAATACTGCTGTTTGACTGAATGTTACATTTTTACAGCAAGTGGAAAAACTCTATATAAAACTCAGAATAAATTAGTTGAGTATTGGTAGAGAGAGCTGTTAGGAAAGAATGGTTGGATTCTCTTACTAATTACACAGGGACAGATGTATTAAAGGTGATTAAATAAGCACAGACAGAAATAACCATGATGAAGTAAAGCTATTATTGACCAGTACAATGTAGTGTGTGGGGCTGTGTCATATAGCCTGCAGGGATCCCCACAGATCTGGAAATTTGGCAGTGTAGGAGCAGTGGCACTGTTAATTGCCACAGCTTCCAGAGTAGCAGTCTGGTTGTCACTTCTGCCAAATTTACAGGCCCATGGAAAGCTGTGTGGGCTAGGTGACACAGCCCTGCAGGCTAGATTCAGCCCGTAGG